GAAACTTCAATCAACTCTCTAGAAGTTTAGGTTTATGCAAAAAGCCAAGACAACGCGATTGTACTGAGAACGTAATACGCGCACGTTTTAAGTGTGTAAGTTAAAGATTTAAAGCAAGTTCATTCTGCGATCCATACACCCAAGCCCATTAAGTTTCACATTATGTTCTTTCTATTTGAACTTTAGCGCAGGCAGCGAAAGCCGTACCGTTTATTTCACTTGGTTGAAATTCAGGTGCTCACAGTGGGTATTCGGTCTTAAATAAAATACTTATCTGCTCGTTGTTGTTTTGTATAAATTAGAATTAAAATGGACCTACCCGTTCTCCGTTATTCTGTGCACAATACTTCCAATCAATAATGCTTACAGCGTTATTGTTAATTGCTTGCAATTAAGACGTATAAATTGAATTAAATAAGGGACACATGTTGCGCTGACTTGTGTCTTGAATCGCAGCGGGAGATTTAAGCTAGCGTTAAATAAATATATAGCTGACATTTTTTTTTTTTCGTTTTGGTATAACCTAAAAAATGATTGCTGGGTGTTCGTAGCTTGTTTTTCACCCAACAGAAGTACCAACCAGGGATACATTCCGTTTGACACTAGCACGTCCAACGTGAATGGCAACCGGGCGAAATGTAAGCGAACAGCGAACGACAGTGATATTTCTGGATTGCCACAGCTGATCCTGATTGAGATCTAGTTAGTATACTATTTGATGACTATAAGATGGGTGTAGACAGTATCTACCCAGAGAGTCCGGCCTATATTTAAACTTTAGTTAATAGTTAATAAGCAGTTAAATAAATAAGTTAAAAAAACTTTATTAACTGCCAGGTTGGTCATTTTTAGCAGGACGTTGTCGCCCATTTAAAAGTAAGATTTAGCGAAAGTATTTGAAACTTGGAACGTTGTTTTAAACCTGATGTACCCTATAGAAAGGCCTTGAAAAGTCTCATAATTAGGCGTAACTTTTTTTAACCCATTCAGTCAGCTTCTAGCCTTAATATGCTATGGTGTTTTTTAGCTGTCAGTATGATGCAGTCAAAAATAATGCAAATCGTATAGTGTTTAAAATTTCGAAGATTAGAGTGTTCATTCTGCTATAAACACCTTTTTTTTTTTAATTTTTATTTAAAGGTTATATATCGCTTTCGTTATTGAACACAGCTTAGAACAAACAGAAAGGCCACAAATTAGGGCGACCTGAGGAATCTGCTTATTTTTACCGTTTATTTAGCGGGATATTTAACAACATTTGCTATAATATTTGCACCTTAGCTTAACAATTAAACGGACGTTATTACTATGCATTAGACTGAGAGGGACTCATTTGTTATTACAAAAATGGTGCACTCTACGACCCCGTCAACACCGGCTAAATTTGAAGTTACACACTTTACTCGTCGCGACGCAAACGTCGGAGCTGTCACGTCGTTTACTGATCGGACCCTGGGTGCCATTAGGGAGGATCATCATGATTCGGATGAGAATGTGGTTATTGACTTCCACAATCACAAGTGGTTCACATCTGTAAAAAGTGATTTATGATGATTATTATTATTACTATTAAAGGCACTAGTCGATAGTCACTGCTTGTTTGGATATATTTATTTGTGCACATGTAAATTATGTTTAACACGTGTCCTGCTGTTATTGGAATCTACAGTATCACACGATAAGCCAGATACGAGCCGTCATATTATTGTAGAGCTACGGCTTTCAGCCCATTTACGATTAAAAAAATTCAGCTGCTCCTAATGGAAAACACCAGATTCATTTTTTTTCCCTTTCAGAAATCAGGTCTGGTCCATCTTTGTAAGTATAACAAGAGCCGTTCCTCTATGTAGTAAATGTTGAAGTTAATGTTACAGCTAATCAAATTCAACCGAAATATAGCTAAATGTTTCTACTATTCGCTATTCATACAACTCGAGGTGTTTCCCAAGTTTTATAATCTTTGTTATGTCGGTGAGAGTCACAGCACTGGCGTTATTTGATGCTAACGCTAATATAACGCTAAGGATCATGCCTAATACATTTTCGGGATTTTTCATTTCTCAGACCGGCTCCTAACTGTGAAATTACCAAACATGTCACACTATGAAACATGTTGAGTATCGTGATTCAGGTTTGTAAGCGCTGCGAACGCGATTGTAACGTAATTACCAGTTCATACGCTGTTTGTACGAGTTCAGAAATTAATTACACGTTTCGCTAGTTGTCAAAAAGCCCGCCCATCACTCTGCTAACGAGAAGTATAAAGGCGCATGTTTTAGAACGCACCTAGCCTATCCCAGCAACCTCTGCTGAACTCTGATAGCGGCAAAACGAGTTTACGAATCACGACGAAATCGAATTTAATACGTCTGCATCATTAACAAAAAAATTCACGGACGACTGCGGTTTTCGAGTGCAATATGCCAATTTTTTATCATCGAGAAAGAGCTTGTGGAATACGCTCCTGTAGTAGTGTAGTATGTTCACCCACTAAGATTAGGTGCATTTTAAGTGGTCTAGGTTTGAAACCGGGTGTGGACAGACCTCGTTTCGTGCTTGGAGCTAGTTATCTTAAGCACTGCATTGCGGCAGCACTAGGTGTACACAACTTGAATCATTTAGCTTGTGCTTTCGTTTTTGCTAACCACAGTATATGAGTCAGTGTAAACGCACGGTAAGTAAATGTAATATCCGATTTAAAATAGGTTGCATTCAACAATTATTAAGTTTTATGTAAAGCAAACCGTAAAGTTTAATAGCTTTTAAATTGTTCGAGAACTGGTAAATACATAATCAAGCTACTGGATATTCAAACTGACTGAGTATCATCAGATAATACTAAGCTTTGAGACAAATGTATTGCTTAGTGCTGAAAATCGAAACTCGAAGGTGAGAGCACTAGTGCAGCTTATCAAGGATTAGGGCAAACGTCGGGCAAAATGGCTTGCACCAAACAGCACTTTGTTACTGATGGCGTCGATTTCGACGGTCAAAGACCACGGAGTAGGCGGCTAAGACCAAAGACCGCAAGCGAAAGGACATGATACTGTTATTACAGAAACTCCGTTTCTGTGGCGCTAGTGCGCTTCAGCCAGTTCTTGTTATAATAGCTGCGTAGATGGTTGCTCTACACGTGTTTACATATGTGCTGAATTCAGTGTAAAGGAAGATGTTGTTGATGCTGTTTTTACCCTAAACAGTTATTACGGTTACGTAATACATACTTCGAGAAGCTCCATATTGGCCGAAGAGAAAGCGTATGGTCCAGGCTATATGTATTAATATTCACTGCTTCTTTCGTGTGTTGATAATTCATCTGCTATTTTCGGGTAACTCTTGGACATCGATTTGCCATTCACTCAAGTAAAGTTAGAGACCGCCGGGGATTGAGTTTGGGGTCCATCTTTAACGCATATGTACGTCGAATACAAAGGCGACACACAACTGAGGTAAATCACTCAAACAATGGATTCTCATTTCGCTTACATTTCTTAAACTAACTAAAGAAAGAGAAACAGGTTTCTTTTTTCTAGTCAAATATTGGCCTGTAGTGAAGTAGTCAGTGAGTATCCTGATAAACATATAGCAGTTATCGTGTTGTGATCCGTATTCACTATGTGGTATCGCTCTCTGACTGGCACCCTATTCTTTGATTATCGAGGACGCCAAAGGCTGCAGCTTTTTAAAATTCTGGTTCGGAGCAAAATATTTGCGACGTTTCTGCACAAAAAGAAGTGATCATTGATTGGCGAGAACTTTAAAGGAAAGAAAAAAGGTCTTTTAATGAAATGTTATTTGGAAACCCGATACGGCAAAAATTGACCAAATAGCTCAATAAAATTTCAATTTGCGCCAAACTTTTCACAGTAGTCTGACGACATCGAGGCAACTATATCGTTAGGCTATTGAATTTTATCGTATAAAGGATAACTAGAATTATCAACTTCATAATAATCAATAATATTATTAATTAATGAAGATTAAAACTGTGTATTGTAAGTTACTCAAGTACTTCAATGCATATTAAGCATAACTGCAAGGACGATGAAAATTCTATAGGTTATGAAATATATATATCTACAGAAATACTTTACAAAAAAAAAACTGTTGTAGATAAAGCTGTAAAATGTTGTAGATTAGATAAAATTCGTTACTCTTTGTATCCTGAACTCCTAGATTGCACGTGCACCAATGCATGCAAAAATGATTACACAAATTACTATACGTTTTAACATGAACGTGTTTTTGTTTATATTTTATTACTGTTCCTGTTATTGTTATTATCATCATGTTCACATTTGTGTGTGTGTTTGTATGTGTGTGTTTGTGTGTGGTTGTGTATGTTAGAAACCGCTGGATTTTCCCCGGTCACAAAACGTATCACGTATTGTCACGTCTTGTTGTGACGTGACGGTCACGCCAGATATTTACGAGGTAACGAACGAACGTTCAATATGTATCATAGTTTTTTTTGCCTTAATAAGTACATTTTATATCAGCACAAGTCGACCGTTTCATCTTTTCTTTATTTCTGTCTGCGTAACAAGTTACTGTGAACTTGAACTGAAGCCAAGCAGCGATCAGATGACTGATCACTGGCCGGAAGAGGCTGAACCCTCCGTTGGGAGTTTGACTCATTCTCGTTGTCAATATGATGTAATTATATATATATATATATATATATATATATATATATATATATATATATATGGCGATGATGCACGCTTTAGCTCTCCTCGGTTTCTTTCTCTCTGTCTTTTTCGCTCTTTCAGACTGAACTATTAGTCTGAAGTCATTCGCGTAAGCTTTCTCAATATTTTTATCCGGTAAAACTAGTTAGCATATTGTGTTATTTAGTACTGAAAGTGAATTAGAAAATTTAGTTTACACATCTTCTACACTTCTCGGTGCACTCTGTGTTTATGTGCATTCGCTAGGTAGGTTGCACATTCAACGCTATATATGTATGTATCTCCATATATGATATTAATACCATGTTATTTGTTGCGCTATTAGATATCGTTATCATCCAAGTATCAGCACTGAATGTCAGCACCCGCCACTTTGTCAAGCATAACCTCTGGGTTTTAATCCAACAATCTTGTCAGGTTACATCCATATTATCAGTTCTAACAAACCCAGCACGCAAATTTCACGAGTTCGTTTTCATTTTGCCAATAATCAGTAATCGCCATGGTAAACCTTAAAGTTTTGATGAAGCACCGATAACTCCCCACTGATGATTTCGACTCAGTTTAGTGGCAAACATTCGCGTTTGTGCTTTTCCGTTTTAATTTTTTTAACTCTTACTTTCTTTTTCATCTGTACACCTATCAAGACCACGCGCGTCCTGTGTACTGGCAAGGAAGAATCTCTGAGCGATTTTAAGTTTGAACTTCATCGTTCACGGTATTGGTAAGTTTAGGGAAAATAATCTACTTGCAGGCACGTGGTTCCTTGTGATGATTTTCCGCTCCTTTCGAGTTAGCACACCCTTCGTTATTTCAGAAGCTACTAGTCAATTTGGTTCGTCGCTGAAAAACATTTCGGCTTCCCACCAATAGACCACTTACCCATCCTGCCTGTGTTCACACGTAAAATAGGATACATATGCATATATTGTTGCCATCTCACACTCATTATATATATATATATATATCATATGGAGTTTCTTGTTGTATTTCATACACATCTAGTAGCTCAGTTAATGATGGTAACACGAAAAAATAACATGACAATTTCTTTGTGGGTTGTTTGTTATTATTGACGTCTCCGATGTTGCTGCAGTTCGTTAACGGAACCTGCATCCGATGATGAAATATTACAGAGAGACCACAACACTACTCATATTAGTGGTTGCGGTATACCCTAGTAATAATGCAGTATCTCGTTATGTATATATTTTGCGTTTTACGCTATCCACCTTCAGACGTTTTCATCTCTGGAGGCTTTCGAATATTGATTCTTCTTTCGCCCTTCGCCTCCTCGCTCTTCTTCTATAGTTGATTTGCTTGCTTGGGATTTGTGCTTGGGACTACTTAACGATGAGGGGCATCTCGCTATATCGAGCAGCCTCCAGATCGCTCATGAGGTCAGCGCTGATTATGCGGCCCTGAAGAGCGGCATACATTTCCTCGCCCTGATCTTCAAGTTCAGCGGTTGCCGCGCGAGAGTCGTCCTGAAACAGGACATAACCGATACTCATTAGATCTCGTATTGACGATTCTAATTACAATTTGATACAGTAATTAATGATAACGGTATATAAAACAAACGCTGACAATTTGGAAGTCTTTGAACCGTAATCTGGTTCTCGATGTGCTAACTGACGCGCCTCTGAGTACCGATTATGCATGCCTGTAGACTTCTTACATTTCCGATCATTAGTTTTGGTGAATTTATTTTGTTGTTCTAGCATACTAAAAATCGTATCTCAAGTATGCATGTGTATCGCACACGTTCGCATTAGTTTGTGTGTCAAGTTGTTTATCCTAATACATAACATCTTTTATTTGCCACATTTTAACTCTGCCCCGCACCAATCTGAACAGCATAACTGCAGCATGTCAGAGCTAGCTGCCACAAGTTCGGTTATCAGTAATCCCGTGATATGCATCTACTTGCAGTTTCGTACAACAAGGCACTGATTAAATGAAACTTGACCATGGCTCATTGGTGAGCGTGTGACCAAAAAAAAAATAATTAGGGGCCTATATAGACCTACCTTAGAATGCAACAAGAATGTTTTCATTGTCGTGTGAACCACGAATGGGCGCATGGCCAACGACGAACTTTCGAAATGAAGTTATTGTATTGTACATAGATATTACATGTAGACTAAGTAAGTAGTTTTTGGTACGATGCAAAAAATACACCCACCAAGCGATCTAATCCTTGATTGCTAGCAGTCCATCGTTAACTTCTGCTTCGACCTCGAAAAATCGAAAAACTAACAAACTTCGACAAATTAATAACCAAAACATGGGAAAAAAATACTCACACATCAGAGGCAATTAGATGCTTGATAGGCGTGGCCTTGAGCTACTTCAGCCACCATCATGATCATCATCATTCGGATATATGCCACTTCACTAATTCCGCATAGTCAATTTCTAAACTCAACAACAAAAGTAGCATCGCCACCACTAGGCTAACATGATTTTTTTTTTCACGTGAAGCAAACTGGAGCAATGGACGATGGCATACGGAGAGGCCGCTTACAGCAATGTGTCGATATGACGCAACGGGACATTTTTTGACGGGGTCTTAATAATCGAACACAACCAAACAGAAACAAGGAACCGTTAAATATAATAGAGTTTACACATGAGGCCTGCGTATTTCCTTCTGCCATTATCGAACAAGGATGATCAAACGTTACATAGCTGCCTTCATACCTATGCTAGTATACTAACGCTTCCGCAGCAGCAGCACTAGATATGATTGAATTTCTGTTATCATCTAACATTGGCTTAGTTTGGCGACCACGCAACTTCCGTGAAGAGACCTAGTCTAACTGACCACTCGTAGGCCTTCACACACCGATTCGTTAGCACTTAACACTATAGCAAGTGCATTTCACACACCCATAATCTTCATGCACTCGTGTAGTTGATAACATTGCAACCGCCACCTTCCTATCAGCCGTTATCATATTCAAATTACTGCGGCGACCACATGTGTGCTGGCTATCAAGGGCTGACACACTAGTAGCAAAGCAATCAGAACAAAATATTAGATAAATAAAGGGCTGTTGCAGAGGCCGCAAGTAATATATATAATATATATATATATATCGAGAGAGAGAGAGAGAGAAAAAAAAAGGAACTCGCATGTGACCCCGCATAGAGGAAACAGCTGCTACTGAAGTTGTGTCGCTACATATAACTACGACTAATGGCTATGAACGTTAATCGTAAATTACGCAACGATTTCACAATAGAATTTGCAGATCGGTTCAAATGCGTTCTATGAAATCATCGTTACAATTGTCATCACTGTCGTCCCTATATGCGTCAGCGCGAAGAAACAGGCACTGAAAAACATTGAAAAAAACCGAGTTCGAGGTGGACCGTGAGGAAAGAAGGCACGACTTAAGAACAAGACCAACTTAAATGTATCCCAGAAAGGCACCAATCAGCGCATCATGCAATTTATTCATCTTCTAATCCATACAACTACGCACTCACCCACACACGTCGCCCCATTTTAATAATAATGCTTGAAATAATAAAAATACATAATAACAAAGATTATTGTTCTTTGTTTCACGTTAAGATAATATGTAGTGGTATGGATCGTTTTTGATCAATAACAATACCTTTATGATAATATATTAATAATGATGATAAACGGATTTATATTAAATCTGTTTGCATAATTATATAGTGCGTTATTGAGCTATTAAATTTTGGTCGTTTCTCTCCCAGGGAAAAGTGTTATTGTTTTGTGTATGTTTGTATGGATTTATTGATGAATCGATCGATCGATCGATCGATCGACCGTACGTTGCTCGACTCGTGGGTATGATCATTCATTCAAGACTAGACCGTTGTTTGAGCATTAGTTCGATCAGTAATTATCAGAAATCAGTTGAAAAATTAAATTAATAATAGGCAAGAGCAACGGCATGAAAAAAGATGCACATGAAACGATCGACTGTGCGGCTGGCTAAACGGTATTCAGGTGACATAAACGCTTATGTCTTCTGTGGTTTCGTATACACTCGTTTGCCCGGTATCATCGGTAGATTGTTCTCTGAGCGTATACTATTGCACCCATATCATACACAGCACTTGTTGTATGACATCGGGTGCCAATAATAATATCCCTGTTACCTCACGCAACGCGCTAGCTCCTCACATACACAATGTGGATTTCATCTTCTTTAGTATCTAACCTTTTGGATCTTCACAGGGTGGTGGATTACTAGTGCCATACCGCTTCTCTACCAGCGAGTCCGTCTTTCATGCTAACAGTAGCAATAACAAGGCTATCAACTGATGACGATGCTGGCATTTTGATGCTCCAAAATTTTCTTACAACGCACGTAAGGCACACGTAATAATTAAAAAGTAATGAAAAATCTAGTGAATGGCACACATTCAATTTAAAATCCCTTTAAATGAAACTGGCTGGCAGAGTTGATTTTTTGCAATCTGGTTATCGTCTCGAGTCAAATCACTAATAAACTATTTATTTGTTTTGATAGAATACAGATGTGCGCATCTTATTGTTTGGCACCCTCTAGCGTCCTTTCACAGTGTCATTAGCTCATTTCAAGCAAAGCTATTTTTAAGCGCGCTTTCCGTCGTTTTTTCCCTGCTCCTTCTCTTTGCTCGAGATGACTTTTGTTTGTTGTTGTTTCTTTCCCCGTTACGGTTACGCTATCAACGGCTTTTTGTCCCTGTAGCAATTATGTTATTAGAGCAGCTGGCTACGACCGGTGCATCCGTCAGCGTGCCAGTAGAAGCGTGGCACAGAATAATGTCAAGGAAAGTTGGTAAACAGCCGTAATCGGAGAGCGGTAATAAAATATAAAGGACTTATAAGTAGAACTAGTTATTAGTGAGAGCATTATTAATAGTACTTGAAGTTACCAGTAGTAACGATAGTCGCGGAGCTATAACAACTGACTACGGCTTATGCAGCTGCACTTATTACTATTGTACAGTATTATTATACAGTATTATGTTCAAAAGATGTGTGGCGAACATTTGCTAAGTGACCAGAATTGCCAAATGTTCGTCTGTTGCGCCAGCCCCTGCATAGGGTCCTAGCAACATTTCCTATATTGACAACAATGATAGCTTACTCAATGATAAATCATCATCCACATCCGTAGCGCCATCGTCGCCAACATTGACAGCAGCATCCACTTGCGCCTTCGTATGGGGCCGATTTAACCAACCGATAAATCTTACTCATGGTGTCCAATTTTTGTTTAGTTTAATCTATAGTTCAAATCACTTTTTCCCTCCTTTCACCTGCACGGCATGCGTTGCTTTGTGGAACGGACAGTGCGTCCTGGCCTGATGGGCTGAAGCGATTGAGTACTCAGACATGCTTTGGTGCTATTAAAAAACTGTTCCGGGAAGAAGAGAAATCGCAAACGTTTTGCTGGTCTCATTAGCAAATTGTGCTTGCGCGGTTTCGAATTTCTTTGGAGGGCGATTGATTTTTGCAATTGATTCGAGGGGCTTTTACGCAGTAATTTCTTTGCCCTGGCCTCGTTAACAACCTCAACCACAACAACAACAGCGTGATAAAGCCGAAAAGATTTGTCTTTTATTTGTAATAATAATAGTAGTTTCGGGACACTTCTGACTGATTCAGTGATTCACAAAGGCATCATGATTATGGCCCAGAAATGTTTTGTCTTCCTTTTCTTGCTTATATATATTTAGGTTTCTATGTGAGCTTTGCCATCATTCTATGTTTTGTCGCGTCCTGACGACTGCCCCTTCGAGCTCCTTCCTCTCCTTAAACTTCGTTAGGAGACGTTCTCTTTCGATATCTCTTTCTCTTCTGTAGATGTGCCCATTATTTCTTTTATGTTGTTCTATCTGACGTATTCTCATACTTCTATAAATTTTTCCATTTAATTTTAGAGCTCTTTGGGGAATAGAGAGGGTATTTTATGTGAACTGTGTATTAATTACAGGCCACTGTTGTTCGAATAGTCTGGTTGACTGTGGTGACTGGAGCTGTTGTGGTTGGTTTGGCTGTTAGCGAAATGCGGGTTATCGTAGTAGCTGGCACATAAGGACCCAGCATTCGAGCTGTTGCTGCTGGCCGACGCAGCAGTTGGCAATGCAGTTGCTCGCTGCTGCTGTTGGTGATGATGGCGCTGTTGATGTGGTTGACCACCATGGCCGTGACCGTGGCCGTCCTGTGAACTGACCCTGGCTGTGTCCTGACGCTGACGAAATTGCTGATCGTAGTAATGCTGCTGGAGCTGGGCTGCCGCATAGTATCCAGGAAGTCCTGCCGGGCCGCTGGCAGCAGCGGCAGCAGCCTGAGGATAGTAGTAACTGTAGTAGTCGGCCGGTGACTGAAAGCCGGCTGTGGCCTGATTGAAGTATTGCATATGCTGATGATGCTGCGCGACCATCGGGTTTGGATGATGTGACGGGCCACCGCCTCCACCCCACTGGCCACCCCCGCCACCGCCGTGTTGTTGGTTATTTTTGCGTTCCCTGAGGGATGCAAAGAAAATAATAGCACGGCACGAACAAGCAGAGTAGGGTTGAGACATTGAAGATGAGGAAACAAATCGTAAAAATGGTTAGTTCAACTTCGGTGACTTGCGAATATGATGGAATATTTTGCAATAATTTTAGTCACTGTTTAACGGACTGTTAGAAAGTCGAGCCTTTAATATTTTCGACCCGCATATAGAGTAGGCCTACGTTAAGATGTATGTGAACAAACTCACTTTGGTGTAGCTTGTGATACCCGGATAGGATTCGCTCCAAGGCCTTGAAAGCCATTCATCTCTTGTAACGCTTTGGCGTACTCTTCGTCATGATTAAACTTAACGAAACCAAAGCCTTTGCTCATACCACTGTGGTCCTTGATGACCTGTTCGTTCACAAACAAGAGGGCGACTTAGTCGTACCGAACTAAGCTATGAAAGATCTCTATTCCAAAACTCGAGCAACATCGAATCATACAGAAACATATATTACTTAAAAATACTTTCTGTTCTCTAATTTGTATGGATCAGTGAAAAATTTTGTTGTAAACTACCTTAGCCCATTTGACGCTGGGATATCTCTCTTGAAAGGTCGAGTACAGTGCGAGATCATCGACGTCCGGACTCAGTTCGCCGACGAAAAGTCCATTTTCATCTTGTGCTTGCTTGATCTGTGACTGACAGGTGAAATTCAGACGAAACTTTCTCCGTGAATCTCCAGGCAGCGGCTTGTCGTTATACCGCTGGACAGTTCTAAAAACGACGGAATAAAATACAGTATGTTATACAGACAAGACCTTGTTCAATCGTTGCTTCGCCTTTTCGTGGTGCCGCATTGTCTTCTCAGTTCTTTAGATCATATACATACTTAGGCTCATACTCTATTTAGCCTATACGACAAAATTAATTAACATTGATCGACTAACCTTATCGCTGTGCGCTCATCATCGAGCTCAATGAAGGCATAGGTTATATTCTGATCTTGAAATTTATTTGAATGCATAATTCGCACGTTAACCACGTTTAAGCCTAGTTCGGTGAACTGTTTCCGGAGGAATTCCTCCGTCATAAAGGGTTCGACATCGCCCATCCAAACACTATGGGCCTTGTTGAAGAGCACTGTAACGTAATTTAAAAAAATAAGAACAAAATAATAGTTATCATTTGCATTCTCGAACGTTCGAATCGTTTACTACGATCATTTTAAAGCGACACCCATGTGATACATAGTAGTTGTCACTAGTTCGAGCGGCAAAAACCCTACGAAACAGTTTCTCAATGTAAGTTCGCAGTAACAATTCCATACAAAATCACTGAAATGGAATTTGAACCGCATTTATTTTCAGTTAGATATTTCTTTGTCACAATTAATAAATAACAGCAGAACATTGATTCATGTTTAATTGTAAACAACTTCCATTGAATTCCAAATTGAAAGAAAATTGTCGTTAATTTCTACAAGGAATGTTAAATTCTCATTGTTTGCGGTTACTTGTGGTAATCGAGTAAATGCAAAATGAACAGTGACAATTATCATAAACACTACGATCATAATTTTAGCCGTATCCATCAGAGTACTGCTCTACGGAGCAGATGATGCATCACCCCACAACGCTAAGCCATATACAGTAACGACAGCTGTTGAAAATTGGTGGCCGTAACAACGGTCGCAGCATTAATCCCGGAGACGCCAATGAAGTGATGTAATCACTCTGTATACGTTAATAATAAAAGGTTATAATAATCCTAATTAAGCTGAGGGGAGAAATTGAATGTTTTCAACAAACCCCATTGTATGTTTAAGCATAGGTAATATATATATGAGAAATATCGCGGATGGAAGGTAGCACTCACACAAATAGGAAACAGCTCATCGTGGCACGATTGTCATTTTGTCTCCTAACCGTATCTTTTCTTCGATTTGTTAGTTAATTGAAACATGCATTTAAGACTAGTGCTCATTTAATCTTTCACATAATCGTTATGCCACAGTTCCGATATGACATAAGGGCGGAACACAAAATTCTCTTTGCCGCTGGCGACAACAAATTACTGACGGCCGAGTGACATCGAATAGTTCTGGGCTGATTCGTTACGTTCACAACTAAACGCAATCGCGCCTAACGCAAAGCCTTTTTTTGCCAGCTGTTCCTACGTGTACATGTTTCCGTTTCGATAGCTTTCGGTTTGCTATAAAGCTGTAAAAATCTGCAAGCTGGGTACTCCCTACAAAGCGTCTTTTTAGAGCAACTACATACGGCACTGGCCAATCGTTTCTTCTTGACCATTGAGATATTAGCGAGCATTACCCTAAAAGTAGTAATGTTTAATAACTTCAATAATATTTTGTAGTAATGTCGCTACTATTTGCATGCCACCAATTCGAATACCGCAACGTCGTCGGTGTACAAGAACACACCCTAATTTACTCTCTATATCAGATTCGAACAGGAGCTCTGGGAAGTTTCATCACGATGTGTTTCACACAAGCTACGACAAAACGCAGCGGTTTCGCCTAACATAAACATCATTATAACCATAAATACATCGCTACTATTCAATGACGGAGACAACAACAACAACAAACAACACCATTACATGTGTATAATGATAGCACAATCAGCTAGGGACGTCGAATTAAAGTGACACATACACACAAGAACATTGATATTTTGGGCTGAAACCAATTTGCTGGCCGGCCTATCAGTCAGTAAAAATCAATCATCAGTTTACATAGTGCTTTAGCGTGCACGATACGATAACGATATGCTACGCATTGTGATCGGTAGGGGTGCCGCTGCACGTAGTCTTTCCATCCGACACTTCTAGTTCTAACTTAAGTTTACCATTAATGGTATTATTATTATTGCCGTTGTTCAAACTAGGCGCAAGATCCCGAAAGCTATTCGCTTTATCCCTCGCATTTAAGTCGCATTAAATGGTGCTACGTTTTGCCCAAGTAGGTGGTTACAGTCAGAAATTCGTCATTGCGCCGCTGGGCGGTGGTGTTTTTGTGGGCTCTTGTTGGAGAAGCGGAAGCGGCAGCCGCATAATATACACCACCTGTTGTCACCCACTTACGTCTACTAATATTAACACACAATGTAGATGTGCAAGATACAACCCAGTCTAAGGGTCTTGAACTAGGTAGTCATGGCCAGACAACTGCGTGTGTTTCAACACGCACGAAATGGCTGCATTTCTATTCAGCACGGGGGCGCGAACTCCTGCCTCTCTGCGGCGTGCTTCTACACTATCACCGCTATTAGCCGGCATTATACGATACTACCACAACGACGCAAGGCCGGACGTGCGTCCTCGTGTCGCCAGTTCAGTTGCATAATGGATCCGCATCCGCGCCCTAATGAGAACAATAGCTAAAAACAACTATAGTACAACAAGTTGGGCTTCTCCGTATGGCACCAAACGCACATTAACACCAATACAGGTCCTAACAATAGGCCGAATCACTTACCTCGTCCACGGGCGTTATCGCCGGCCATGCCGCCCATTGGCGGTTGTTGCTGCTGCTGCTGCTGCTGCTGTTGTTCGCGATAGCAATTCATCGTTGCTACTATTGACTGGCACCTGATCGTCGCTGGTAATCGATTGCAGTGGCGATTAGCCCTTGCTTTGCCTGCTATATGCACTCTGTTGCTATAGGAGATACACCACCTCTGCAAGCTGGCTGTCGTGTCCTGTAGCCAGTAGCTTCGACGCTGCGGCAACGACTCTTGTATTGATTCGACGCAACAATTTCTCGTTACGCGTTTCGTGTGTCCTCAGACACCGAACGGCAGCGTTGTTGCTGGCAACAAGCCCACTAATCGGTGCGGCGTGTCCCACAATCCCTGTCACCTACACACTACTGTAACAGTACGTGAGTATACAGTTTTCACTGCTAGTACTACGACTACTGGCCGTAATATTATAGTACAATACTACAAAGAAACTGTTGCTCTCCTACAAGAACAACTCTTTCTGGCTGTCTGCCTGCCTCCTCATGTACTACGACGACAAGACGAGATGACCACCGTCACCACTGATCCACTCCAGGCAGCAGCCGCTGCTGCCGAATGCTGCTGCTAATGCTGTGTCTCTGTTTGCGTGTACTGGCTGTGTGCGATCAACGCTGCCGCCCCGCCACCGCCACGGCTGCCGCTGTCGTCCTCACGATGTGAGCTATACGGCTGCGGGATCGGGCAAGTGGTCGAATCGCTTGTTGATTACGCTGCTACACCGAGCCGCAGAGCGCCACAGCCGATAGTTGTCTCTTAACTGCGGGGAAGTACTTCTCTGCGGAGGCCCGCAGGACATCAACTGGCAATGCTTTCGCTGTTTTTGCCACGGTTCGTTACTGCCGTCGCTAGCGACAGCAGCGCAAACAGGGAATAGACGACGACAGCGATGCGACAACAGCGAAGGCGGTAGACCGGCAACCGACAAGCAGCCGATGACACCGAAGGACGCGGCAGCAGACAGCAAATGAAAGTAGCAAAGAGAGCGAGAGAGACAGGGAGACAAAAGCAATTGCAGCGGCCTTAGATACCGGCTTCTGCAGCGCTCAGTTGCGAGGGATGGCCTTTCTCCTCCTCCGCCTGTCTGACAGCGGTCGCTAGCTGGCGAGCTGATGTCTCCAGGCGGACTGATAATAAGAAGACCGGCGGGACGACGACGACAACAGCGCCATGCAGTGCTGGCGGGATGCAGACGGCATTCGGTGTATGCACGCTAACCAGACCACACAGCACTCTGGACACGAATGGCGAGAGGTACTAGCATAGGGCGCTGGTGAATGGCAGCTGCGAGAAGCTGCAGTGGCGACACCAGCGGGCTCTAGCCTAGACACATGAGGTCAGTGAGCTAGGGCGAACATAGGCTGTGCGCCAGTGGGAGAGGGCATTGTTTAGCTGTGACAGGCCGCGAGCGGTAGAGAAGCGACAAGCATGCGGCCACCGGGCGGTGTGTCGGCAATGGGCGAGAGACTGGAGACAGGCAGTGTTGGCGGGCTAGAAGAGCGATGGTCAGGGTCTGTCACCAAGTCGATTTGCCGGTACTGAGTCATGGCAAATGGCGATAAACGGCGCGACGCCTGGAACCTAGGTCGTGATAGGTGGGGCCAGCACCGCTTGCTTTTCCATCTTTCTATTGTCGTCACCTAGGAGATAATTATCCATTCCGCTTCCTTCTGCGTCATGCTTGCAACACTGAGCCAGGTTCCCTTTTTCGTATGAGACGATCTTCTAATTCGTTTTGCTACCTGGACTAAATTCTGCTTTACCCTCGGTGAATATACGCTCCACGTATTAGCTAACATCATCGGGGTGAGGTCGACTGAATAACTGCCGGTTGATAAATAGGAAACGTTTTTTTTTTTGAAGTTAGGTTTAACAACACAGATTTCCACGACGAATTGCGAAGACAACATGCCTTTTCGGATCATCTCATTAAAGGTTACATCATTCGACCCTCATGTGTATGTTTCGTTAATAACAGATACGTAAACATAGAAAGCAGCAAGTAAAGGATATGATTTAAACCCTCTTAAAAAAGTGAATAGTAATAGAAAGTTAGTATCGGAACATGTTTGCGCATTACGCTGGACAGGAAAGATGCTGTCCGCAAGTTAAACCCGCAATAAAACGCGTCGAATACGAGACACGTGAAGCCATCGCTGCGATTCGTGTGTGCTGGTTTCAAATTCGAGTATGAAAGGGCACAGGGAACACACGGATTCAAATAGCGATACTTATTAGAAAATGCGGCGTTCCATGAACGGATGGACTTCGTTGTAAGGCCGAGCACGAACCCGTCAGTAAGACGGACGGATAAAGTACGAGGCTCCCTTTTTTCTCTTTCTAAGACGTTGTGTTTTAGTGCTGACTCCGACTGTTGCAGTTGCTCCGCACGAGTGAAAAAAACACAAGAACGCCTTGAGAAGACAAGACTGGTGATTGTTAGCGCTCGAAGCGGCACAGTTGCCCATCAAGGGAACTACAAGGCAAAATTTCGCCTGATGTAACTACTCGTAAGGGGGAGACGCGCCAAAAGGTTTAAAAAAAAAAAGATTATACGTTTGTTATGAAGGATCTGTTGCGAATCAGCATTCATTTGAGAATTATGAAGGTCTGAGGCTTGGTTCTATGCTCCACTTTTATGGAACACAGAAAAGCGTGAGTGGTCAACTTCGATTTGACTCAATTAAACAATATTGAAATAGTAAAAACAGTTAGAACACTGAGGAGTAATGCCACGACTATTTATCATAACACAAGAATTGCCCAGAAGGTTGACGAATTGCAGTCAAAATTACATTAAATAGTATTTTTTTTAATCATCCATGTGTAGTAATATCTTCGAATTGTTTCTATTTACATGTATTTGTGCTCTTAACGATTACGATCGGACTGTCTGTGGTCTCGCGGGAGTGGTTTCATAATACGTTTGACATGACGAGTTCTTGTAATAGGGTTGCCAGCTCTTACAAATAAGTGAGCAAATATTGCTTAAACCCTGGATACGATGAACTTATCCCTATTAAGCTATTCGAGGCTTAACCTGCATATAACTAATAAGTTATGGTACTTCAAATTACTTCCATTGACAAACCTAATAAGTTAGCGTCTTTACCTATAAGTGAACGTGCGCGTCATCTGAGTAGCCGTTGCCCCGTTTCAATGAGTGACAAAGAGCCCATGGCAAAGGTTATTTTTGCATGAGTCATTTGTAAACTAGGCATCGTACATGAGAAAGCTTTCGAGTCCCCTTAAACATGTACCCCGGTTTGTTTTCTTGTCAGTCGTAGCTTCTCTATTAAGAGAGCGGAAGATTTTAGCATTCTTGCAGAGTCTTGACTTTTTCCGCTAGCCAAACCTGAATTAGGGTTGTTGAATCAGGTGTTGTCTAGCAAAACAACGGCACAAACAAAAGTCGGTCGGTGGAATACTTGCATGGTTATCGTGATTCATTACATTACATAGGTCAGACTAAGCAGAACACAAGTAGGCTAATTAGGTCAATACGCATTAAAAATATTAATAATCAAAATATATTTCGAACCTTCGATTCATTTTACTATTTAGTCCCCGTTTGATCTAAATTATCTTTCAGCCGTATTAACCATCGCTCGCCTAAATATATGGTATACCGCATAAGGAAGCATTTATCGTTTTTACCTTACGTTGAGATAATTTTAGATAGAAAATGTTCTTTAGTTGCATTTTAAGCTGCAATCATTCCTGCTATGTTTGCAAAAAAAAACATAAATACGTTTTGAGAATACCAAATGTTTTCAAAATTCTCAAGAATCAATAAGTTTAAGTGCGCTGGGAGCCCCCAGTTTATCCTAAAGGATTCGTTATATAATTATTGTTGACCAATGGCCGAAAAGTGACAAAATAAAGAATTAGAAAATATAATTTCAGAACAATAAAACCGCTAGATAATTCTGAACGCATTACGATTCACGTTTGGTTAAGCATGAAAAGAACCGCAAATGCAACAAATTCAATTTTTTGGTCTTTCCTGTTTTCAGTTACAACCAACAAACGATCGCAGCTATGAAGGCAGTGCAAAATATGATATTAGATTAACAGTAGTTAGGCCTTATTTAAGGATTCTAATGTGAGTTCAGGTCCTTTTGGTCTGTTTGTACCATGAACATTTTCCCATTAACTGGTCCTTTACAATTTAAGGGACCTTTAACCGACAGAGTCATGCAAATGAACGTTACAATGTCAAAGGCGACCGTTGCCGTCAAAATTATTTTCGATAGATATATAGGGGATATAGGAACAATAGTCGGTTTTAATATATTTAAGTATAGGGAACATTTAGCAGAAGGTTTGGTGTCAAGCTTCTTTTTCGAATTGCACCCGAATCTTATTATTCTTATTATTCTGTCTTATTATTCTTTTCAATCAAAATGGAAAATATAGATGCACGAAACGTTCTCTCAGCTTTTCGTTAAAACCCAACAGAACTTGTGTCATCTCGAACAAAACCCTTTCCACTGTAACTTCTTGTAATTCATTAATAAACTCGTACAAATAAACTTTAACATGGACAAGACTTAGCATTTCTAATATAAATGTATGCTTTTACCAGTAATAACAATACCACAGTCCGAAAGTTACAGAAATGTAACCGCATTAGGCCGATAATAGTCATAATAATAGTCATTGTTGCCAATGAATTAATGAGAATTTCAAGCTTTCGAATTGTTTGTACGTTTTAATACGATCGTCCTATTTGACTTGATCCATTCTTTTAGAAGAAGACCTTTTCTGTGCAATTCATTACATACTAGACTATAAGTAAGTGGCACATCAGCATTTGTCTTCACCATATCCTCTTATAGCAATAGTAATATGTGAAGATTTTAAGCAAACCTTTTGACCTGTTGCATTACTAAACGAAACTTGATGTTCGCAAGCCCTGAGTATATTTTGTTCGCCTGTATTATGCCTTGAATGGTTTGTACGACTAGGGCCCAATGTTATTTTGTTTAGTCAATGATTAATTTCATTATCTGTATTCAAAGGGAGACTGCTCTCTTTCGTGTAACTGAGTTTGTGTGCGAATATGTGTTATCATCATGACCCGATTCCTGTCGTGATATCGTTGCCATATTTCATGGCTCGTTTTTGCTTTTGAGATTAAAAAAATAGGTTTAATCCTAAAGAGACGAGATTTGTTTCTTGACATTGTTATCGTTACCGACAGAGGAGTTTGTGTCCTATCGGGCGCAAGATTTGTGTTCCTTGTTTCTTGTCTTAACGAACTGAGTCCGTTGCGCCTATTACGATCTTCCTAAGCTTATTTGCTGTCCTTCTTAGCCTAATCCTAGGTATTGTCTGCAGGCAAAATGTGCCAACAACAAATAAAGTGCGTCGCGTGCTTGCATTTCGACGGGTTTTGTAAATGACAATAAACGATAATAGAATCCGAGAGTCTGTGCCTAGAGCCTGAGCGCGTTACTGAATTATCTAATATGACTGAAAAATCTACTTGAATTTGAAGATATAGATATATGCAGCGCTAATTAAATAAACCCCAATGATAACCATATTATTTTGTGGGAAATGCGCGTTATTTTAAAGCCGTGCCTTATGTATATACCCAAAAATGTATAGCATCGTCTAAAATCAGTCATTTTTTGTTATTCAGTGATAAAGGTATACCTTTTGAATGATCCGGTAATGAAAAAAAGCTTGATCTTAATCAGAGAGTACTGCTCTCTTGAAAATTCCTGAAATTTTTGAAGATTTTATAGAACGATTAGATCAACATAACAAAGCAATTGATTGAGCGGTTGGTTTTGAGGGGAGTCGAAGCCAACGCTGTTATTTTTCCCAGCGATGTATGCAGAACGGGCCTGTGTGTTTAGTTAAATATTCGTCACGTATCACTTAGGGCTAAGTCTGTTTAAAAAAAGTCGGATTTTTTTTTATGTTCTCGATAATATAGACATGTAAGAAGTACTAATGTCAACGATTTGGCATGCAGTGCAACTGTGCTACGAAGCCCCAATGATACTTTAACTAAAGTCTAAGGCTTAATACAATTTGCCCCACTTGGTCAGATTCGCTTTGTAAATTATTATATGATATGAAACTCTCTTTAGAAGGGGTA